GACACTGTGTGATAGACACATAGACACACATAGACACTGTGTGATAGACACAGACACTGTGTGATAGACACACAGACACAGTCATACATAGACACACAGTGTGATAGACACATAGACACACATAGACACTGTGTGATAGACACAGACACACATAGACACTGTGTGATAGACACAGACACACATAGACACTGTGTGATAGACACAGACACTGTGTGATAGACACTGTGTGATAGACACAGACACTGTGTGATAGACACACAGACACAGTCATACATAGACACACAGTGTGATAGACACACAGTCATACATAGACACACAGTGTGATAGACACACAGTCATACATAGACACACAGTGTGATAGACAAACAGTCATACATAGACACAGTGTGATAGACACAGTCATACATAGACAAAGTGTGATAGACACACAGTCATACATAGACAAAGTGTGACAGACACAGTCATACATACAGTGTGATACACACAGTCATACATAGACACAGTGTGATAAGACACACAGTCATACATAGACACAGTGTGATAAGACACACAGTCATACATAGACACAGTGTGATAGACACAGTCATACATAGACAAAGTGTGATAGACACACAGTCATACATAGACACAGTGTGATAGACACAGACACACAGTCATACATAGACACAGTGTGATAGACACAGTCATACATAGACAGAGTGTGATAGCCACACAGTCATACATAGACACAGAGTGTGATAGACACACAGTCATGCATAGACACAGTGTGATAGACACATAGACACACAGTCATACATAGACACAGTGTGATAGACACAATCATACATAGACAGAGTGTGATAGACACACATACACTGGCCCACAGACACAACACACAGAGACACACAGAGTGATAGACACACAGAGTGATAGACACAGACACATACAAAGTGAGACACACACAGAGTGATAGACACACAGAGTGATATACACACAGAGTAATAGACACACAGTGATACACATAGACACAGTGATACACACAGTGATACACACAGTGATACACACAGACACACACAGAATGATAGACACAGAGACACAGAGTGATACAGAGACACACAGTGTGATAGACACACAGTGATAGACACACAGAGTTTTGTTGTTTTATTTTTTACCTACGTGACTTTACCGAATAGAACCAAAGAGTATGGATCCTTGCAGTCACGAAAGCTTCAAATCTAGAACACACAGAGTGATAGACACACAGAGTGATACACACACAGAGACACACACAGAGTGATACACACAAGAGACACGTAGACCACGAGTGTAACAGTCACAGGCTGAGACTCTCACACAGAGAGACGCCTCGACACGAGGAGTCGATGAACCAAATGGAACCCCGATAATTGCGATGGGGACCCAGGGACGCAGTCTCCGTGAGCAGGGCGAGAGAGACGACCTCACCTCCTCTCAGCTGTGATGCTGCTGCTGGGGGGAGCAGCAGGAGGAGCAGGGACGTGGGATCGCCTTCAGTACCCGACGATAGCAGCAACAACAACAACACCAACAAGGCGACTCTGACCGGGCACTTGCAAGGAGACGATGCGCTGTGTGGCGACCTCACCGCCTCACTATAAAAGTCCACGGTGACGCTGCTGCTGCCGAGCAGGCGGGGGTGGTGGGGGAGGGACAAACTCGTTTTGGCTGCGCTGTGAACTGCCCAGCGTCAAAATACGACTTGTGATGGCGTTGACAGTGGACATGGGCGTGTTTGTGTTGTGAGTGCTTTAGCGGTGTGAATACTTTGCAGTGTAGGAGTTGGTACAATCCTCACCACCACCCTCACTCTCATCACCACCCTCACCACCCTCACTCTCATCACCACCACCCTCACCACCACCACCCTCACCACCCTCATCACCATCACGCTCACCACCCTCATCACCACCACCCTCATCACCACCACCCTCACCACCCTCATCACCACCACCCTCACCACCACCACCCTCACCACCCTCATCACCATCACCCTCACCACCCTCAACTATCTCCCAGCAACAGCAGCCACCATTCGCAAGTGGCGGCGACGTCACCAAGGCGCCTGTGCCAGGCTAGGTGCGACCACGTGAAGTGTCGAAGGCTCGCTGCTGACAGGTCACGGGACAGACCCAGCAGGTGCCATGGGTTGACGGGGTGGTGTGCGTGTGGTGTGTGTGTGGTGGTGGTGGTGTGTGATGGTGTGTGTGGTGGTGATGGTGTGTGGTGGTGGGTGTGGTGGTGATGGTGTGTGATGGTGTGTGTGGTGGTGATGGTGTGTGATGGTGTGTGTGGTGGTGATGGTGTGTGTGTGATGGTATGTGTGTGTGGTGGTGGTGTGTGTGATGGTGTGTGTGTGTGATGGTGTGTGTGTGTGGTGGTGTGTGTGTGTGATGGTGTGTGTGGTGGTGTGTGTGGTGGTGTGTGTGGTGGTGGTGTGTGGTGGTGGTGGTGTGGTGTGTGGTGTGTGTGTGGTGTGTGTGTGGTGTGTGTGTGTGAGCTGCACCACTATCGCCTCAACTCCGCTAAGGCGACATCCATTGAGTCCGTACGCGTGGAGGGGGGAGGGGTTAACACAAATGTGTACCGCTTGTGTATGGGGGGGGGGGGGGCTACTGACAATGTACGCATAGGAAACGGGGGGGGGGGGGTAAAGCCTCGATAATAAAATTGATATTCGATTATTTTCGATGATAATTTGTCTACACTGGCCTTCAAACGAGTTGCATAGTCCGGCGGTAGACTGTTTGCTTAAACACATTAATATTATTAATCCTTGATCGTCTCTGCGTGGATTAAATATCGACCGTTCTATAGGATTCAGGGGGGTAAAAAGTCAAAGTCCATGTGCGCACAGAGAGAGGGGAGGGGTCAAGTAGACAGATTTGTCGTCGCTACTCAATGGATGACCCCTAACGCGATGCTGAATGTGTGGCGGGGTGATTTCTCACAATGCCATCGAGTGAATTCTTACAGTGGGATGGGAAGAAGCCGAATGAGAATGTGGCACCTCGTGACGTCACTGCTCAGTCGCCGTGTTAAAGCTGTCGGGCAGATCCACACACACAGCCCCAAGTGGCACAGATCCCAGTCGTCGCAGATAAACTGAGAACCACTTTACCTCTTTGGTTATTTCGGTAAAGTCACGGAGGTATAAAATAAAAGAAATCACGACGTTTCGGGTGCAACACAAGCGTCAATTATCAGGATGGGAAAGCATGATGGTCTGCTGCTGAGGCAGTCGTGATTTATTTTATTGTATACCTGCTACGTGACTTTACCGAAAGACCCAAAGAGTATTGATTCCTGCAGTCACAAAAGCTTCAAGTCAATATTGAGTACCACTTTGTTCGAATCGACTGGGGGTGGCCCTACAGAGGAGAGAGTCTGGCCCCCGACAGGGCAATGTGGAATTTCCGTCACGGGCTCAACCCACCGCTCCCGAGAGCAGGAGGCGACCTCCACTTTGCTGTTGCGAGAATCGCAGAATGTTTAGAGTCCCCTTACTGCCGCTGTTTGTTCTCGTGGCCGTTCACGTCGCTCGCAAGCGGCAGAGTTCTTGTGGCAAGACGCATCCCACTCTCACAGTCATAGACAGTGCGTGATAGACACATAGACACACATAGACAGTGCGTGATAGACACATAGACACACATAGACACTGTGTGATAGACACATAGACACACATAGACACTGTGTGATAGACACATAGACACACATAGACACTGTGATAGACACATAGACACACATAGACACTGTGTGATAGACACATAGACACACATAGACACTGTGTGATAGACACATAGACACACATAGACACTGTGTGATAGACACATAGACACACATAGACACTGTGTGATAGACACAGACACACATAGACACTGTGTGATAGACACAGACACACATAGACACTGTGTGATAGACACAGACACTGTGTGATAGACACACAGACACAGTCATACATAGACACACAGTGTGATAGACACATAGACACACATAGACACTGTGTGATAGACACAGACACACATAGACACTGTGTGATAGACACAGACACTGTGTGATAGACACACAGACACAGTCATACATAGACACACAGTGTGATAGACACACAGTCATACATAGACACACAGTGTGATAGACACACAGTCATACATAGACACACAGTGTGATAGACAAACAGTCATACATAGACACAGTGTGATAGACACACAGTCATACATAGACAAAGTGTGATAGACACACAGTCATACATAGACAAAGTGTGACAGACACAGTCATACATACAGTGTGATACACACAGTCATACATAGACACAGTGTGATAAGACACACAGTCATACATAGACACAGTGTGATAAGACACACAGTCATACATAGACACAGTGTGATAGACACAGTCATACATAGACAAAGTGTGATAGACACACAGTCATACATAGACACAGTGTGATAGACACATAGACACACAGTCATACATAGACACAGTGTGATAGACACAGTCATACATAGACAGAGTGTGATAGCCACACAGTCATACATAGACACAGAGTGTGATAGACACACAGTCATGCATAGACACAGTGTGATAGACACAATCATACATAGACAGAGTGTGATAGACACACATACACTGGCCCACAGACACAACACACAGAGACACACAGAGTGATAGACACAGACACATACAAAGTGAGACACACACAGAGTGATAGACACACAGAGTGATATACACACAGAGTAATAGACACACAGTGATACACATAGACACAGTGATACACACAGTGATACACACAGTGATACACACAGACACACACAGAATGATAGACACAGAGACACAGAGTGATACAGAGACACACAGTGTGATAGACACACAGTGATAGACACACAGAGTTTTGTTGTTTTATTTTTTACCTACGTGACTTTACCGAATAGAACCAAAGAGTATGGATCCTTGCAGTCACGAAAGCTTCAAATCTAGAACACACAGAGTGATAGACACACAGAGTGATACACACACAGAGACACACACAGAGTGATACACACAAGAGACACGTAGACCACGAGTGTAACAGTCACAGGCTGAGACTCTCACACAGAGAGACGCCTCGACACGAGGAGTCGATGAACCAAATGGAACCCCGATAATTGCGATGGGGACCCAGGGACGCAGTCTCCGTGAGCAGGGCGAGAGAGACGACCTCACCTCCTCTCAGCTGTGATGCTGCTGCTGGGGGGAGCAGCAGGAGGAGCAGGGACGTGGGATCGCCTTCAGTACCCGACGATAGCAGCAACAACAACAACACCAACAAGGCGACTCTGACCGGACACTTGCAAGGAGACGATGCGCTGTGTGGCGATCTCACAGCCTCACTATAAAAGTCCACGGTGACGCTGCTGCTGCCGAGCAGGCGGGGGTGGTGGGGGAGGGACAAACTCGTTTTGGCTGCGCTGTGAACTGCCCAGCGTCAAAATACGACTTGTGATGGCGTTGACAGTGGACATGGGCGTGTTTGTGTTGTGAGTGCTTTAGCGGTGTGAATACTTTGCAGTGTAGGAGTTGGTACAATCCTCACCACCACCCTCACCAATCTCATCACCACCCTCACCACCCTCACTCTCATCACCACCACCCTCACCACCCTCATCACCATCACCCTCACCACCCTCAACTATCTCCCAGCAACAGCAGCCACCATTCGCAAGTGGCGGCGACGTCACCAAGGCGCCTGTGCCAGGCTAGGTGCGACCACGTGAAGTGTCGAAGGCTCGCTGCTGACAGGGCACGGGACAGACCCAGCAGGTGCCATGGGTTGACGGGGTGGTGTGCGTGTGGTGTGTGTGTGGTGGTGGTGGTGTGTGATGGTGTGTGTGTGATGGTGTGTGTGTGATGGTGTGTGTGTGATGGTGTGTGTGTGATGGTATGTGTGTGATGGTATGTGTGTGTGGTGGTGGTGTGTGTGTGATGGTGTGTGTGGTGGTGCGTGTGTGTGGTGGTGGTGGTGGTGTGGTGTGGTGGTGGTGTGTGTGGTGGTGGTGTGTGTGTGGTGGTGGTGGTGTGTGTGGTGGTGTGTGTGTGGTGGTGGTGTATGTGATGGTGTGTATGTGATGGTGTGTGTGTGGTGGTGTGTGTTGGTGTGTGTGTGTTGGTGTGTGTTGGTGTGTGTGTGGTGGTGTGTGTGGTGGTGTGTGTGGTGGTGTGTGTGGTGGTGTGGTGGTGGTGGTGTGTGATGGTGTGTGTGTGATGGTGTGTGTGATGGTATGTGTGTGTGATGGTAGTGTGTGGTGGTGGTGTGTGTGATGGTGTGTGTGTGGTGGTGGTGGTGGTGTGTGTGGTGGTGGTGTATGTGATGGTGTGTGTTGGTGTGTGTGTGTTGGTGTGTGTGTGTTGGTGTGTGTGTGTTGGTGTGTGTGGTGGTGGTGTGTGTGGTGGTGGTGTGTGGTGGTGGTGTGTGTGGTGGTGTGTGTGGTGGTGGTGTGTGGTGGTGGTGGTGTGTGTGGTGGTGGTGTGTGTGGTGTAGTGTGTGTGTGGTGTGTGTGTGTGAGCTGCACCACTATCGCCTCAACTCCGCTAAGGCGACATCCATTGAGTCCGTACGCGTGGAGGGGGGAGGGGTTAACACAAATGTGTACCGCTTGTGTATGGGGGGGGGGGGCTACTGACAATGTATGCATAGGAAACGGGGGGGGGTAAAGCCTCGATAATAATATTGATATTCGATTATTTTCGATGATAATTTGTCTACACTGGCCTTCAAACGAGTTGCATAGTCCGGCGGTAGACTGTTTGCTTAAACACATTAATATTATTAATCCTTGATCGTCTGCGTGGATTAAATATCGACCGTTCTATAGGATTCAGGGGGGTAAAAAGTCAAAGTCCATGTGCGCACAGAGAGAGGGGAGGGGTCAAGTAGACAGATTTGTCGTCGCAACTCAATGGATGACCCCTAACGCGATGCTGAATGTGTGGCGGGGCGATTTCTCACAATGCCATCGAGTGAATTCTTACAGTGGCATGGGAAGAAGCCGAATGAGAATGTGGCACCTCGTGACGTCACTGCTCAGTCGCCGTGTTAAAGCTGTCGGGCAGATCCACACACACAGCCCCAAGTGGCACAGATCCCAGTCGTCGCAGATAAACTGAGAACCACTTTACCTCTTTGGTTATTTCGGTAAAGTCACGGAGGTATAAAATAAAATAAATCACGACGTTTCGGGTGCAACACAAGCGTCCATTATCAGGATGGGAAAGCATGATGGTCTGCTGCTGAGGCAGTCGTGATTTATTTTATTGTATACCTGCTACGTGACTTTACCGAAAGACCCAAAGAGTATTGATTCCTGCAGTCACAAAAGCTTCAAGTCAATATTGAGTACCACTTTGTTCGAATCGACTGGGGGTGGCCCTACAGAGGAGAGAGTCTGGCCCCCGACAGGGCAATGTGGAATTTCCGTCACGGGCTCAACCCACCGCTCCCGAGAGCAGGAGGAGACCTCCACTTTGCTGTTGCGAGAATCGCAGAATGTTTAGAGTCCCCTTACTGCCGCTGTTTGTTCTCGTGGCCGTTCACGTCGCTCGCAAGCGGCAGAGTTCTTGTGGCAAGACGCATCCCACTCTCACAGTCATAGACAGTGCGTGATAGACACATAGACACACATAGACACTGTGTGATAGACACATAGACACACATAGACACTGTGTGATAGACACACATAGACACACATAGACACTGTGTGATAGACACATAGACACACATAGACACTCAGTGTGATAGACACACAGTCATACATAGACACACAGTGTGATAGACACACAGTCATACATAGACACAGTGTGATAGACACACAGTCATACATAGACACACAGTGTGATAGACACACAGTCATACATAGACACACAGTGTGATAGACACACAGTCATACATAGACACACAGTGTGATAGACACACAGTCATACATAGACAAAGTGTGACAGACACAGTCATACATAGACACAGTGTGATAGACACAGTCATACATAGACACAGTGTGATAGACACACAGTCATACATAGACACAGTGTGATAGACACACAGTCATACATAGACACACAATGTGATAGACACACAGTCATACATAGACAAAGTGTGATAGACACACAGTCATACATAGACACACAATGTGATAGACACACAGTCATACATAGACACAGTGTGATAGACACAGTCATACATAGACAAAGTGTGATAGACACACAGTCATACATAGACACAGTGTGATAGACACATAGACACACAGTCATACATAGACACAGTGTGATAGACACACAGTCATACATAGACAAAGTGTGATAGACACAGTCATACATAGACACAGTGTGATAGACACAGTCATACATAGACACAGTGTGATAGACACACAGCCATACATAGACACAGAGTGTGATAGACACACAGTCATGCATAGACACAGTGTGATAGACACACAGTCATGCATAGACACAGTGTGATAGACACAATCATACATAGACAGAGTGTGATAGACACACATACACTGGCCCACAGACACAACACACAGAGACACACAGAGTGATAGACACAGACACATACAAAGTGAGACACACACAGAGTGATAGACACACAGAGTAATAGACACACAGTGATACACATAGACACAGTGATACACACAGACACACAGTGATACACACAGACACACACAGAATGATAGACACAGAGACACAGAGTGATACAGAGACACACAGTGTGATAGACACACAGTGATAGACACACAGAGTTCTGGTGTTTTATTTTTTACCTACGTGACTTTACCGAATAGAACCAAAGAGTATGGATCCTTGCAGTCACGAAAGCTTCAAATCTAGAACACACAGAGTGATAGACACACACAGAGTGATACACACACAGAGACACACAGTGATACACACACAGAGACACGTAGACCACGAGTGTAACAGTCACAGGCAGAGACTCTCACACAGAGAGACTCCTCGTGTCGAGGCGTCGATGAACCAAATGGAACCCCGAGAATTGCGGTGGGGACCCAGGGACTCAGGGACCCAGGGACGCAGTCTCCGTGAGCAGGGCGAGAGAGACGACCTCACCTCCTCTCAGCTGTGATGCTGCTGCTGGGGGGAGCAGCAGGAGGAGCAGGGACGTGGGATCGCCTTCAGTACCCGACGATAGCAGCAACAACAACAACACCAACAAGGCGACTCTGACCGGGCCCTTGCAAGGAGACGATGTGCTGTGTGGCGATCTCACAGCCTCACTATAAAAGTCCACGGTGACGCTGCTGCTGCCGAGCAGGCGGGGGTGGTGGGGGAGGGACAAACTCGTTTTGGCTGCGCTGTGAACTGCCCAGCGTCAAAATACGACTTGTGATGGCGTTGACAGTGGACATGGGCGTGTTTGTGTTGTGAGTGCTTTAGCGGTGTGAATACTTTGCAGTGTAGGAGTTGGTACAATCCTCACCACCACCCTCACTCTCATCACCACCCTCACCACCCTCACTCTCATCACCACCACCCTCACCACCACCACCCTCACCACCCTCATCACCATCACGCTCACCACCCTCATCACCACCACCCTCATCACCACCACCCTCACCACCCTCATCACCACCACCCTCACCACCACCACCCTCACCACCCTCATCACCATCACCCTCACCACCCTCAACTATCTCCCAGCAACAGCAGCCACCATTCGCAAGTGGCGGCGACGTCACCAAGGCGCCTGTGCCAGGCTAGGTGCGACCACGTGAAGTGTCGAAGGCTCGCTGCTGACAGGTCACGGGACAGACCCAGCAGGTGCCATGGGTTGACGGGGTGGTGTGCGTGTGGTGTGTGTGTGGTGGTGGTGGTGTGTGATGGTGTGTGTGGTGGTGATGGTGTGTGGTGGTGGGTGTGGTGGTGATGGTGTGTGATGGTGTGTGTGGTGGTGATGGTGTGTGATGGTGTGTGTGGTGGTGATGGTGTGTGATGGTGTGTGTGGTGGTGATGGTGTGTGTGTGATGGTATGTGTGTGTGGTGGTGGTGTGTGTGATGGTGTGTGTGTGTGATGGTGTGTGTGTGTGGTGGTGTGTGTGTGTGATGGTGTGTGTGGTGGTGTGTGTGGTGGTGTGTGTGGTGGTGGTGTGTGGTGGTGGTGGTGTGGTGTGTGGTGTGTGTGTGGTGTGTGTGTGGTGTGTGTGTGTGAGCTGCACCACTATCGCCTCAACTCCGCTAAGGCGACATCCATTGAGTCCGTACGCGTGGAGGGGGGAGGGGTTAACACAAATGTGTACCGCTTGTGTATGGGGGGGGGGGGGCTACTGACAATGTATACATAGGAAACGGGGGGGGGGGGGGTAAAGCCTCGATAATAATATTGATATTCGATTATTTTCGATGATAATTTGTCTACACTGGCCTTCAAACGAGTTGCATAGTCCGGCGGTAGACTGTTTGCTTAAACACATTAATATTATTAATCCTTGATCGTCTCTGCGTGGATTAAATATCGACCGTTCTATAGGATTCAGGGGGGTAAAAAGTCAAAGTCCATGTGCGCACAGAGAGAGGGGAGGGGTCAAGTAGACAGATTTGTCGTCGCTACTCAATGGATGACCCCTAACGCGATGCTGAATGTGTGGCGGGGTGATTTCTCACAATGCCATCGAGTGAATTCTTACAGTGGCATGGGAAGAAGCCGAATGAGAATGTGGCACCTCGTGACGTCACTGCTCAGTCGCCGTGTTAAAGCTGTCGGGCAGATCCACACACACAGCCCCAAGTGGCACAGATCCCAGTCGTCGCAGATAAACTGAGAACCACTTTACCTCTTTGGTTATTTCGGTAAAGTCACGGAGGTATAAAATAAAAGAAATCACGACGTTTCGGGTGCAACACAAGCGTCCATTATCAGGATGGGAAAGCATGATGGTCTGCTGCTGAGGCAGTCGTGATTTATTTTATTGTATACCTGCTACGTGACTTTACCGAAAGACCCAAAGAGTATTGATTCCTGCAGTCACAAAAGCTTCAAGTCAATATTGAGTACCACTTTGTTCGAATCGACTGGGGGTGGCCCTACAGAGGAGAGAGTCTGGCCCCCGACAGGGCAATGTGGAATTTCCGTCACGGGCTCAACACACCGCTCCCGAGAGCAGGAGGCGACCCTCCACTTTGCTGTTGCGAGAATCGCAGAATGTTTAGAGTCCCCTTACTGCCGCTGTTTGTTCTCGTGGCCGTTCACGTCGCTCGCAAGCGGCAGAGTTCTTGTGGCAAGACGCATCCCACTCTCACAGTCATAGACAGTGTGTGATAGACACATAGACACACATAGACACTGTGTGATAGACACATAGACACACATAGACACTGTGTGATAGACACACATAGACACACATAGACACTGTGTGATAGACACATAGACACACATAGACACTCAGTGTGATAGACACACAGTCATACATAGACACACAGTGTGATAGACACACAGTCATACATAGACACAGTGTGATAGACACACAGTCATACATAGACACACAGTGTGATAGACACACAGTCATACATAGACACACAGTGTGATAGACACACAGTCATACATAGACACACAGTGTGATAGACACACAGTCATACATAGACAAAGTGTGACAGACACAGTCATACATAGACACAGTGTGATAGACACAGTCATACATAGACACAGTGTGATAGACACACAGTCATACATAGACACAGTGTGATAGACACACAGTCATACATAGACACACAATGTGATAGACACACAGTCATACATAGACACACAATGTGATAGACACACAGTCATACATAGACACACAATGTGATAGACACACAGTCATACATAGACACAGTGTGATAGACACAGTCATACATAGACAAAGTGTGATAGACACACAGTCATACATAGACACAGTGTGATAGACACATAGACACACAGTCATACATAGACACAGTGTGATAGACACACAGTCATACATAGACAAAGTGTGATAGACACAGTCATACATAGACACAGTGTGATAGACACAGTCATACATAGACACAGTGTGATAGACACACAGCCATACATAGACACAGAGTGTGATAGACACACAGTCATGCATAGACACAGTGTGATAGACACACAGTCATGCATAGACACAGTGTGATAGACACAATCATACATAGACAGAGTGTGATAGACACACATACACTGGCCCACAGACACAACACACAGAGACACACAGAGTGATAGACACAGACACATACAAAGTGAGACACACACAGAGTGATAGACACACAGAGTAATAGACACACAGTGATACACATAGACACAGTGATACACACAGACACACAGTGATACACACAGACACACACAGAATGATAGACACAGAGACACAGAGTGATACAGAGACACACAGTGTGATAGACACACAGTGATAGACACACAGAGTTCTGGTGTTTTATTTTTTACCTACGTGACTTTACCGAATAGAACCAAAGAGTATGGATCCTTGCAGTCACGAAAGCTTCAAATCTAGAACACACAGAGTGATAGACACACACAGAGTGATACACACACAGAGACACACAGTGATACACACACAGAGACACGTAGACCACGAGTGTAACAGTCACAGGCAGAGACTCTCACACAGAGAGACTCCTCGTGTCGAGGCGTCGATGAACCAAATGGAACCCCGAGAATTGCGGTGGGGACCCAGGGACTCAGGGACCCAGGGACGCAGTCTCCGTGAGCAGGGCGAGAGAGACGACCTCACCTCCTCTCAGCTGTGATGCTGCTGCTGGGGGGAGCAGCAGGAGGAGCAGGGACGTGGGATCGCCTTCAGTACCCGACGATAGCAGCAACAACAACAACACCAACAAGGCGACTCTGACCGGGCACTTGCAAGGAGACGATGTGCTGTGTGGCGATCTCACAGCCTCACTATAAAAGTCCACGGTGACGCTGCTGCTGCCGAGCAGGCGGGGGTGGTGGGGGAGGGACAAACTCGTTTTGGCTGCGCTGTGAACTGCCCAGCGTCAAAATACGACTTGTGATGGCGTTGACAGTGGACATGGGCGTGTTTGTGTTGTGAGTGCTTTAGCGGTGTGAATACTTTGCAGTGTAGGAGTTGGTACAATCCTCACCACCACCCTCACTCTCATCACCACCCTCACCACCCTCACTCTCATCACCACCACCCTCACCACCACCACCCTCACCACCCTCATCACCATCACGCTCACCACCCTCATCACCACCACCCTCATCACCACCACCCTCACCACCCTCATCACCACCACCCTCACCACCACCACCCTCACCACCCTCATCACCAACACCCTCACCACCCTCAACTATCACCCAGCAACAGCAGCCACCATTCGCAAGTGGCGGCGACGTCACCAAGGCGCCTGTGCCAGGCTAGGTGCGACCACGTGAAGTGTCGAAGGCTCGCTGCTGACAGGGCACGGGACAGACCCAGCAGGTGCCATGGGTTGACGGGGTGGTGTGCGTGTGGTGTGTGTGTGGTGGTGGTGGTGTGTGATGGTGTGTGTGGTGGTGATGGTGTGTGGTGGTGGGTGTGGTGGTGATGGTGTGTGATGGTGTGTGTGGTGGTGATGGTGTGTGATGGTGTGTGTGGTGGTGATGGTGTGTGATGGTGTGTGTGGTGGTGATGGTGTGTGTGTGATGGTATGTGTGTGTGGTGGTGGTGTGTGTGATGGTGTGTGTGTGTGATGGTGTGTGTGTGTGGTGGTGTGTGTGTGTGATGGTGTGTGTGGTGGTGTGTGTGGTGGTGTGTGTGGTGGTGGTGTGTGGTGGTGGTGGTGTGGTGTGTGGTGTGTGTGTGGTGTGTGTGTGGTGTGTGTGTGTGAGCTGCACCACTATCGCCTCAACTCCGCTAAGGCGACATCCATTGAGTCCGTACGCGTGGAGGGGGGAGGGGTTAACACAAATGTGTACCGCTTGTGTATGGGGGGGGGGGGGGCTACTGACAATGTATACATAGGAAACGGGGGGGGGGGGGTAAAGCCTCGATAATAATATTGATATTCGATTATTTTCGATGATAATTTGTCTACACTGGCCTTCAAACGAGTTGCATAGTCCGGCGGTAGACTGTTTGCTTAAACACATTAATATTATTAATCCTTGATCGTCTCTGCGTGGATTAAATATCGACCGTTCTATAGGATTCAGGGGGGTAAAAAGTCAAAGTCCATGTGCGCACAGAGAGAGGGGAGGGGTCAAGTAGACAGATTTGTCGTCGCTACTCAATGGATGACCCTAACGCGATGCTGAATGTGTGGCGGGGTGATTTCTCACAATGCCATCGAGTGAATTCTTACAGTGGCATGGGAAGAAGCCGAATGAGAATGTGGCACCTCGTGACGTCACTGCTCAGTCGCCGTGTTAAAGCTGTCGGGCAGATCCACACACACAGCCCCAAGTGGCACAGATCCCAGTCGTCGCAGATAAACTGAGAACCACTTTACCTCTTTGGTTATTTCGGTAAAGTCACGGAGGTATAAAATAAAAGAAATCACGACGTTTCGGGTGCAACACAAGCGTCCATTATCAGGATGGGAAAGCATGATGGTCTGCTGCTGAGGCAGTCGTGATTTATTTTATTGTATACCTGCTACGTGACTTTACCGAAAGACCCAAAGAGTATTGATTCCTGCAGTCACAAAAGCTTCAAGTCAATATTGAGTACCACTTTGTTCGAATCGACTGGGGGTGGCCCTACAGAGGAGAGAGTCTGGCCCCCGACAGGGCAATGTGGAATTTCCGTCACGGGCTCAACCCACCGCTCCCGAGAGCAGGAGGAGACCTCCACTTTGCTGTTGCGAGAATCGCAGAATGTTTAGAGTCCCCTTACTGCCGCTGTTTGTTCTCGTGGCCGTTCACGTCGCTCGCAAGCGGCAGAGTTCTTGTGGCAAGACGCATCCCACTCTCACAGTCATAGACAGTGCGTGATAGACACATAGACACACATAGACACTGTGTGATAGACACATAGACACACATAGACACTGTGTGATAGACACACATAGACACACATAGACACTGTGTGATAGACACATAGACACACATAGACACTGTGATAGACACATAGACACACATAGACACTGTGTGATAGACACATAGACACACATAGACACTGTGTGATAGACACATAGACACACATAGACACTGTGTGATAGACACATAGACACACATAGACACTGTGTGATAGACACAGACACACATAGACACTGTGTGATAGACACAGACACACATAGACACTGTGTGATAGACACAGACACTGTGTGATAGACACACAGACACAGTCATACATAGACACACAGTGTGATAGACACATAGACACACATAGACACTGTGTGATAGACACAGACACACATAGACACTGTGTGATAGACACAGACACTGTGTGATAGACACACAGACACAGTCATACATAGACACACAGTGTGATAGACACACAGTCATACATAGACACACAGTGTGATAGACACACAGTCATACATAGACACACAGTGTGATAGACAAACAGTCATACATAGACACAGTGTGATAGACACACAGTCATACATAGACAAAGTGTGATAGACACACAGTCATACATAGACAAAGTGTGACAGACACAGTCATACATACAGTGTGATACACACAGTCATACATAGACACAGTGTGATAAGACACACAGTCATACATAGACACAGTGTGATAAGACACACAGTCATACATAGACACAGTGTGATAGACACAGTCATACATAGACAAAGTGTGATAGACACACAGTCATACATAGACACAGTGTGATAGACACATAGACACACAGTCATACATAGACACAGTGTGATAGACACAGTCATACATAGACAGAGTGTGATAGCCACACAGTCATACATAGACACAGAGTGTGATAGACACACAGTCATGCATAGACACAGTGTGATAGACACAATCATACATAGACAGAGTGTGATAGACACACATACACTGGCCCACAGACACAACACACAGAGACACACAGAGTGATAGACACAGACACATACAAAGTGAGACACACACAGAGTGATAGACACACAGAGTGATATACACACAGAGTAATAGACACACAGTGATACACATAGACACAGTGATACACACAGTGATACACACAGTGATACACACAGACACACACAGAATGATAGACACAGAGACACAGAGTGATACAGAGACACACAGTGTGATAGACACACAGTGATAGACACACAGAGTTTTGTTGTTTTATTTTTTACCTACGTGACTTTACCGAATAGAACCAAAGAGTATGGATCCTTGCAGTCACGAAAGCTTCAAATCTAGAACACACAGAGTGATAGACACACAGAGTGATACACACACAGAGACACACACAGAGTGATACACACAAGAGACACGTAGACCACGAGTGTAACAGTCACAGGCTGAGACTCTCACACAGAGAGACGCCTCGACACGAGGAGTCGATGAACCAAATGGAACCCCGATAATTGCGATGGGGACCCAGGGACGCAGTCTCCGTGAGCAGGGCGAGAGAGACGACCTCACCTCCTCTCAGCTGTGATGCTGCTGCTGGGGGGAGCAGCAGGAGGAGCAGGGACGTGGGATCGCCTTCAGTACCCGACGATAGCAGCAACAACAACAACACCAACAAGGCGACTCTGACCGGACACTTGCAAGGAGACGATGCGCTGTGTGGCGATCTCACAGCCTCACTATAAAAGTCCACGGTGACGCTGCTGCTGCCGAGCAGGCGGGGGTGGTGGGGGAGGGACAAACTCGTTTTGGCTGCGCTGTGAACTGCCCAGCGTCAAAATACGACTTGTGATGGCGTTGACAGTGGACATGGGCGTGTTTGTGTTGTGAGTGCTTTAGCGGTGTGAATACTTTGCAGTGTAGGAGTTGGTACAATCCTCACCACCACCCTCACCAATCTCATCACCACCACCCTCACCACCCTCACTCTCATCACCACCACCCTCACCACCCTCATCACCATCACCCTCACCACCCTCAACTATCTCCCAGCAACAGCAGCCACCATTCGCAAGTGGCGGCGACGTCACCAAGGCGCCTGTGCCAGGCTAGGTGCGACCACGTGAAGTGTCGAAGGCTCGCTGCTGACAGGGCACGGGACAGACCCAGCAGGTGCCATGGGTTGACGGGGTGGTGTGCGTGTGGTGTGTGTGTGGTGGTGGTGGTGTGTGATGGTGTGTGTGTGATGGTGTGTGTGTGATGGTGTGTGTGTGATGGTGTGTGTGTGATGGTATGTGTGTGATGGTATGTGTGTGTGGTGGTGGTGTGTGTGTGATGGTGTGTGTGTGGTGCGTGTGTGTGGTGGTGGTGGTGGTGTGGTGTGGTGGTGGTGTGTGTGGTGGTGGTGTGTGTGGTGGTGGTGTGTGTGTGGTGGTGGTGTGTGTGTGGTGGGTGTGTGTGTGGTGGTGGTGTATGTGATGGTGTGTATGTGATGGTGTGTGTGTGGTGGTGTGTGTTGGTGTGTGTGTGTTGGTGTGTGTTGGTGTGTGTGTGGTGGTGTGTGTGGTGGTGTGTGTGGTGGTGTGGTGGTGGTGGTGTGTGATGGTGTGTGTGTGATGGTGTGTGTGATGGTATGTGTGTGTGATGGTAGTGTGTGGTGGTGGTGTGTGTGATGGTGTGTGTGTGGTGGTGGTGGTGGTGTGTGTGGTGGTGGTGTATGTGATGGTGTGTGTGTGGTGGTGTGTGTTGGTGTGTGTGTGTTGGTGTGTGTGTGTTGGTGTGTGTGTGGTGGTGTGTGTGGTGGTGGTGTGTGTGGTGGTGTGTGTGGTGGTGGTGTGTGGTGGTGGTGTGTGTGGTGGTGTGTGTGGTGGTGGTGTGTGGTGGTGGTGGTGTGTGTGGTGGTGGTGTGTGTGGTGTAGTGTGTGTGTGGTGTGTGTGTGTGAGCTGCACCACTATCGCCTCAACTCCGCTAAGGCGACATCCATTGAGTCCGTACGCGTGGAGGGGGGAGGGGTTAACACAAATGTGTACCGCTTGTGTATGGGGAGGGGGGGGCTACTGACAATGTATGCATAGGAAACGGGGGGGGGGTAAAGCCTCGATAATAATATTGATATTCGATTATTTTCGATGATAATTTGTCTACACTGGCCTTCAAACGAGTTGCATAGTCCGGCGGTAGACTGTTTGCTTAAACACATTAATATTATTAATCCTTGATCGTCTCTGCGTGGATTAAATATCGACCGTTCTATAGGATTCAGGGGGGTAAAAAGTCAAAGTCCATGTGCGCACAGAGAGAGGTGAGGGGTCAAGTAGACAGATTTGTCGTCCCTACTCAATGGATGACCCCTAACGCGATGCTGAATGTGTGGCGGGGTGATTTCTCACAATGCCATCGAGTGAATTCTTACAGTGGCATGGGAAGAAGCCGAATGAGAATGTGGCACCTCGTGACGTCACTGCTCAGTCGCCGTGTTAAAGCTGTCGGGCAGATCCACACACACAGCCCCAAGTGGCACAGATCCCAGTCGTCGCAGATAAACTGAGAACCACTTTACCTCTTTGGTTATTTCGGTAAAGTCACGGAGGTATAAAATAAAAGAAATCACGACGTTTCGGGTGCAACACAAGCGTCCATTATCAGGATGGGAAAGCATGATGGTCTGCTGCTGAGGCAGTCGTGATTTATTTTATTGTATACCTGCTACGTGACTTTACCGAAAGACCCAAAGAGTATTGATTCCTGCAGTCACAAAAGCTTCAAGTCAATATTGAGTACCACTTTGTTCGAATCGACTGGGGGTGGCCCTACAGAGGAGAGAGTCTGGCCCCCGACAGGGCAATGTGGAATTTCCGTCACGGGCTCAACCCACCGCTCCCGAGAGCAGGAGGAGACCTCCACTTTGCTGTTGCGAGAATCGCAGAATGTTTAGAGTCCCCTTACTGCCGCTGTTTGTTCTCGTGGCCGTTCACGTCGCTCGCAAGCGGCAGAGTTCTTGTGGCAAGACGCATCCCACTCTCACAGTCATAGACAGTGCGTGATAGACACATAGACACACATAGATACTGTGTGATAGACACATAGACACACATAGACACTGTGTGATAGACACATAGACACACATAGACACTGTGTGATAGACACATAGACACACATAGACACTCAGTGTGATAGACACACAGACACAGTCATACATAGACAGTGTGTGATAGACACATAGACACACATAGACACTGTGTGATAGACACATAGACACACATAGACACTGTGTGATAGACACATAGACACACATAGACACAGTGTGTGATAGACACACAGTCATACATAGACACACAGTGTGTGATAGACACACAGTCATACATAGACACACAGTGTGTGATAGAGAGACAACCTCACCTCCTCTCAGCTGTGATGCTGCTGCTGGGGAGGAGGAGGAGCAGGGCCGTGAGGTCGCCTCCAATACCCGGCAAAGATGGCGGCTGCAGCAGCGTCGTCGGTGTTTATAAAGTGTGGGGAGAGGGGGCGTGGCTATCTCACCCAGAACCCCTCCTCCTCCACCCCCCCATAGGTCCACACCTCCACCAATAAGACATCGCTGGCGCCGTGACTTCCGTGTGTCCGTGGCTATGAGGTCTCCCTTCCGCCTGTTCTACTTCGAAGCAGTGAGATTTTGTTTGTGACAAAACCCGTCTTTAAAACAAATAAAATACTTAGTTCAAATTTTTCATTCCTAACAATAAATGCTCCGCCCTTTGTGGCAGATCGGCTAAGCAAGGACGTCTAGTGGAGTGATGTTGTATCATCGTAAACTAGATACATCCATACGTAGATTCACCTTAATTACCAGAATACAATCACACTTCCATCTGAATGGGTTCTTGCATGAAACGTCCTTTAGACATCCAGCCAGAGGCGTGATGCGGTACATTTAACTGAAAACCAAATACAATCTACAAATATGCACATCGCTGTTTAATTAGTACTGTATAAGTATTCATTGTTAGAGAAGTATGTACATTGTGTATCGACTTTGCAACTCGTTTATGTGCTTCAGTTACCCTCTGTAAATGTTTTGAATTCAGAAGTTGTATATTTGTTTCATGAGACTGAGGAATGTTTAGCTTTGTGTTAATAAACATGACTGCAGTACATGATGAAAGGGGTGTCTTGTCGTGAGCGGTATTCGCAGTACAGGTTTTTGATTTTCAATGGTGAGTTGGACATTTAACTTGGGTTCTAAAGACATCGCTGTTGAGACAAGGCGCCTCTCACAACGTCGTGGGAGGAGGCGGTTCTCTTGGTCCCGATGGCAACCCGCGTTGACCGGCGTGGTGAAGTATGGTCAAACACCCCCCCCCCCACCAATTGTATGTGTGTGTGAGTGCTGTGTGTGTGTGCTGTGTGTGAAATGTGTGTAGTGTGTGTACTGTGTGAAATGTGTATAGTGTGTGTACTGTGTGTGAGTGCTGTGTGTGAAATGTGTGTACTGTGTGTGTGTACTGTGTGTGAGTAGTGTGTACTGTGTGAAATGTGTAGTGTGTGTACTGTGTGAGTAGTGTGTACTGTATGTGTACTGTGTGTGTGTACTGTGTGTGTTTGCTGTGTGCGTGAGTGTTACGTGAGTTGTGTGTGTGTTTTGTCTGAGTGGTGAAGGGTGTGTGCTGTGTGTGTTGTGAGTGCATGTTGTGTGTGTGTGTTGTAAGTGTGGTGAAGGGTGTGTGTTTTGTGTGAGTGCTGTGTGTATGAGTGCTGTGTGCAAGTTCTGTGTGTGAGTGCTGTGTGTTGTGTGTGAGTGTTATGTGTCTGTGTGTTATGTGTGTGTGAGTGTTGTGTGTGCGAGTGTTGTGTGAGTGCTATGTGAATGTTGTGTGTGAGTGTTGTGTGTGTGGCGAGGGGTGTGTTGTGTGTGAGAATCGATTACTGTTTCGATTACTGGGCACGGCGATACCACGCGCCTATGTGTATCACGATACACGTAGCAACACACACACACAACACTCACAACACTCACACACACAACACACACACAACACACACACACAACACTCACACACAACACTCACACACACAACACTCACACACACACAACACTCACACACACAACACTCACAACACTCACACACAACACTCACACACAACACTCACACACAACACTCACCAACAACACACACACACACAACACTCACAACACTCACACACAACACTCACACACAACACTCACCAACAACACACACAACACTCACACACACAACACTCACACACAACACACCCCTCGCCACACACACAACACTCACACAATACTCACACACAACACTCACACACACAACACTCACAACACACCCCTCGCCACACACACAACACACACAACACAACAACCACCATTCGTCACTAAGTGGCAGTGACGTCACCACGACGCTTGTGCCAGGGTATGTACACCCTGAGGCCACGTGAAGTGTCAAACGCCCGCTGGCAGGAGGTCACGGGGCAGACCCAGGTGCCACGGGTCGACTGACTGAGATGACTGGCTGATGCACCACCTGTGCCCCCTACTGTGCCAGCCTGCTGTGCTTTAGCCACCCGGCGCTCCGCTCGTTGTTGTGAGCTTCGCTCCTCCGCCCTCCGTTGTTGCTGGAGGGCGACTGCCTCCAACTTCCCAGTAGCGTCCTTCGCAGCCGATGCCGCATCTACAGGGAGACCGGTCACACTCGTTACACATATACAGTGAGGGAAAAAAGTATTTGATCCCCTGCTGATTTTGTACGTTTGCCCACTGACAAAGAAATGATCAGTCTATAATTTTAATGGTAGGTTTATTTGAACAGTGAGAGACAGAATAACAACAAAAACATCCAGACAAACGCATGTCAAAAATGCTATTTAATTGATTTGCATTTTAATGAGGGAAATAAGTAATTGACCCCTCTCAGTCAGAAAGATTTCTGGCTCCCAGGTGTATTTTATACATATAACGAGCTGAGATTAGGAACACACTCTTAAAGAGAGTGCTCCTAATCTCAGCTTGTTACCTGTATAAAAGACACCTGTCCACAGAAGCACTCAATCAATCAGATTCCAAACTCTCCACCATGGCCAAGACCAAAGAGCTCTCCAAGGATGTCAGGGACAAGATTGTAGACCTACACAAGGCTGGAATGGGCTGCAAAACCATTGCCAAGCAGCTTGGTGAGAAGGTGACAACAGTTGGTGCGGTTATTCGCAAATGGAAGAAACACAAAAGAACTGTCAATCTCCCTCGGCCTGGGACTCCATGCAAGATCTCACCTCGTGGAGTTGCATTGATCATGAGAACGGTGAGGAATCAGCCCAGAACTACACGGGAGGATCTTGTCAATGATCTCAAGGCAGCTGGGACCATAGTCAACTCGCCGTGTTTGGAGGAGGAGGAATGCTGCCTATGACCCCAAGAACACCATCCCCACCGTCAAACATGGAGGTGGAAACATTATGCTTTGGGAGTGTTTTTCTGCTAAGGGGACAGGACAACTTCACCGCATCAAAGGGACGATGGACGGGGCCATGTACCGTCAAATCTTGGGTGAGAACCTCCTTCCCTCAGCCAGGGCATTGAAAATGGGTCGTGGATGGGTATTCCAGCATGACAATGACCCAAAACACACGGTCATGGCAACAAAGGAGTGGCTCAAGAAGAAGCACATTAAGGTCCTGGAGTGGCCTAGCCAGTCTCCAGACCTTAATCCCATAGAAAATCTGTGGAGGGAGCTGAATGTTCGAGTTGCCAAACGTCAGCCTCGAAACCTTAATGACTTGGAGAAGATCTGCAAAGAGTGGGACAAAATCCCTCCTGAGATGTGTGCAAACCTGGTGGCCAACTACAAGAAACGTCTGACCTCTGTGATTGTCAACAAGGGTTTTGCCACCAAGTACTAAGTCATGTTTTGCAGAGGGGTCAAATACTTATTTCCCTCATTAAAATGCAAATCAATTTATAACATTTTTGACATGCGTTTTTCTGGATTTTTTGTTGTTATTCTGTCTCTCACTGTTCAAATAAACCTACCATTAAAATTATAGACTGATCATTTCTTTGTCAGTGGGCAAACGTATAAAATCAGCAGGGGATCAAATACTTTTTCCCTCACTGTACCTACAGAGATGTACGTATATTGAACATCGTTCAAAGCGTGCGTAGCCAACCATCCTAATCGGAGGTGTGGGGGAAGGAAAACCATCTAAACACGAAAAGCTTACACTTATTACACCACTCTGGTAGAAGGGCCACTGAGAGGTCTTGAAAACGCCGTTAAACACAGGGGTGCTACACCGTCTACATTTGTAATTGTGGAGAAGAGATCAATAAAACTACGACCTCAATGGAAGCTACGACACGGTGAGCTCCGCGTAGCATCAGCTGTCGGAGAGGAACTCCGCTCACCTGGTGAGTGAGCGCAGTGAAACGTCTCCCCCTCGACCAAATCTTAGGGCTGCCTCCCCCCCACCGTCAGTGCCCAGACTCAGAGCGGCCGCTCGCGAGCCGAGTCTCAGCGGAGCACGTGGCCCGGGAGCCACTGGCACGGCCAGGGCGGTGTCACAGGGGTCACATGACCCGTGACCTCATCGTCACGGTGGTTTATTAAAAACTAAAAAACTATTCTAATTAGCAGGTAAGGCCCACTGAGCTATGTAGCTCTTTTCTTACAAAAGTGACATGGCCACCAATGACCGCTCAACGAAGTGGCTTGTGTCGTGCTGAAATTTACAGCAGCAAAATAATCGGAATGCACGTTGATTATAAATGTGGAGGATAAAACCAGAGGACCCGGAGACAAATCCACGTGACCACAGGCAGAGAGACACGCAAACTCCAAATATACAGCAGGCGTCAGGGTCGGAATCGAACCCACAACCTCCTGCGTTCCAGGCGAGGGAGGTAACGGTGAACTCTCACCTGGCTAACGAAAGGGCACCGTCCAATGTGTGCTGGGTGAGTGGCTCTGGGTGTGAACTCACCCAGAAGGGAGATGAACAGTGGGATGAGGACCAGCTTCATGGTCGGCTCTGTCTGCTGATGATCACAAATGAGAATGAGTCATTAGTCCATCTCACGGCCTCACTCCAATGGCTCATGCTCCCTCACATTCACATCACTCCGCTTCTACATCTTTTCATTTGTGACGTCAGCGATGAGATTCATCTTTTGGATTTAGTTATCCCAACTTTAATGACATAAACACGCGCTTCATTTGAACACGCTGCATGGACACTGGCTCCTAAGTGAAATAAAACGATGTTCTAGGAATTTCGGCCACAACACAAGCGGCCTTCATCAGGTGAAGGGACGAGACTGTCTAGAGGACAGCGTTTTTTGTTATTTTATTTTCACCTTCGTGACTTTACCCAATAGAACCAAAGAGTATGGATCCTAGCAGTCACGAAAGCTTTAAATCTAGAGATGTTCTAGGAATGCCAAGGCACAGTCATCCTGTACGGCAATCACATCCCTAGCCCTGCTGCTTGTTCAGTCTGAACTGTCTGAATGGAACAAGAAGTGGAATCTCGCAGACGCGGCTATGCATCTGGTTCAGTTGTGGTTGTCGCCGTGTAGGGAGGGGGGCTACGACCCTTGACGGCGAGGAACTCCACCAAACTCACGGACAAAGTAGCAGAATGTGAAACTGAGAAGTCCGTGGTGATGGAGCAGGCAGTGTTGTGATGATGAGTAGTGGTGTAGCGAGCTTCACACGCTGTAGGCTTTCACGACCAATATCCATTATACAGGTTCGTTGTGTTAGAGCGAGTGTGCCGTCAAACCCCCCCACCACCTGACACAGCCAATTAGTAAGGTTCGTCACGTAAACAGAACGTGGCCAATTCATTACTAGAGCAGCACACCGGTGTGTTGGGGAGCAAAGCCACAACATTTACATCGGAGTACGACGTTTCGCCTGTAGTTACAATTAGCTTCAGCGGGCGACAGCTGCTGATGGCATCACTTGTGAGAGCTTCTTGCACGCAGTGAGGGGTGGGTATTCATGAATGCACCAAACTCCGGGACAAAGCAACCGACTGGGAGACCGGGGAGCCGGAGACAATCCTCGGTCGAGGCGCTTCAGCGCTACGCCCTTTTGTAATAACGCGGCGCGCTCTGCATTTAGACCTCCTGCCGACGTACGCGGGGCAATGATCGTAATGACGTCAGTCGGCACCGCCACGCACGCCCACCTAGCCTGGCACCGCGACCCAATGGCGGAGCGATAGACACACAGGTAGACACGGTGGAACAAACAGCCACTGCCTCACACCAGACACACAGAGACAACGTCACACACTCACAATGGTAAAGACACGAGGAGTCGATGAACCAAATGGAACCCCGAGAATTGCGATGGGGACCCAGGGACCCAGGGACACAGGGACACAGGGACCCAGGGACTCAGGGACCCAGGGACTCAGGGAC